GATCTACAACAAGTGATCTATCTCCCAATCACCAATGAAAGTGCTATATTCTATAAAAGACGCTTAGCAGTTTTTAACTTTACATTTTACAATATTTCGAACAGAGATTGTTATTGTTATACCTGGCATGAGGCTGCGAGTAAAAGAGGTGCCTCGGAAATTTCAACTTGCGTTCATAAAGCTTTACTAAGATATGATTCGAAAGGATTCAAGATGGTTTCTCTATATTCTGACGGATGTAGCGGGCAAAATAAAAATAGTATTATGGCCACCATGCTGCTGCATACAGTTCTGAATAGTGAAAACTTAGAGGAAATCACCCTGAGATTTTTTGAGTCCTATCATGGACAGAATGAAGGTGATTCAGCCCACAGTGCTATTTCTTATGCCATACAACATGCTGGTAATCTCTTTATTCCATCTCAGCTTTATCCAGTTTTCAAACTAGCTCGGAAGCAACAACCATACGATGTTATTCCCTTACAATTCGACGACTTTTTGGACTTCAAGACATTGTCGAAAGAGTTACGTATTCTGAATATCAAAACCACAGAAACTGGAGAAACATTTAAATGGAATGATATCATGGAGTTCAAAGTATCTAAACATTACCCAAAAACAATATTTTTCAAGACTAGTCATCTAGAGAAACATTATAAATCATTGTCACTGAAACGACTAAATAATAATAAGGATCTCAGAGAAGTTTCTGTCCAAAAGCTCAATGCACAAGTTAATAAAATATCAGAAGAAAAATACTCCGATCTGCAATCTCTTTGCACTGGGAATACTCCAGTTGTCAGGTTGCAAGAACACCAATTATTTTTCAGATTACTTCCACATTGAAGATGTATTAGTTATATTATACATTCCACAGAGGCAATCTTTCTGTGAGGGTATTCCATGTTCCAAGAATTATATAATATTCTTTGTATTTATTATGGAAAAAATATTTTTATTCTGGATTTTGTGACCTGGTGTATTGTTTATTTCTATAATATCCTTTGTATTTATTATGAAAAAAATATTTTTATTTTGTATTTTGTGACCTGGTGTATTGTTTATTTCTTTAGGGTCAATAGAACATGTTTTTTCATTCATTAGTTTTTTTTAAACCAATGGAATACATTTTTGACAAAACCTTTATCGGACGTAAGTGGTTATACAATAGGATTATCTAGTCTCACAAATGGTCGTAACTCATGTTTTTTTCAAAATCTCAACGTCACTCAATTTTTTTTACTGTTTCCATGAACAGTCAGGTAGAGAGAGTCCATACTCTATGTATACCAAAGATCATCCTGATTAGATATCTTCATCATCATTTTGTAATCACCTGAAGATTGCATAAAACTTCAAACGGCTCTCCTGAAAAATCAGATAAACTGAGTTACGTCACTTTGTGAAATTGACGACGATATGGCACAGTGGAATAATATCAAAATCATAGGAAAGGAAGATAACAAACAAAAAAGAAAAATAAAGGAATCCGCTTGCATTCTTCTAAACGGAGACAATAGCATTGCTTCCTGTTCAGTTGATATTGATAGAACATGGTATTCACTACTGAAAACTGAACATGAAAATGGTAGATTCAAGATCAGTTAATGAAAACATCCTGTAACTCATTTGTAGACTAAAATCACTCATTCATATGCCAACATCAGTATGACATTGAAAAGTGTCAAACTATACGCAGCACAACTTTCAAAGAAAAATAATTTGCATTTACATGTTGAGAACGGGAGCAGAATCGGTCCCGAAACGTCCAAAGATAAGTACAAATTCGATATTTTTTCAATATATCTATATTTCTTTCCTTCAAAAATTTTTTCAAACAAATTGTCACTGACAAGCTACTGGATTTTTCTTTTAGACTCCCTGATAGAAAAATGTGTTAAACGCAGTGACATTTTGGGGCAAATCATCTGATTTGTCCCTCTACAAATATATTGAAATAATACGAATACTTTTATTTTATAGAAACGAGGAGAGAAAATCCCAAAGAACCAAGTAAAATGAATATTTCGAAAATTTAATGTATCTTATATAGGTTATTATTGTTTCCAATTGAAAAAATTGCCGCGGGACGTCTTAACTTAAACGTGGATCACCCTGTATATATATGATTCTTACTTTCAAATGCGGCAAATCGGAAATAAAATCGACCTGTTGCAGAGGATTTCTCAGAAATGGATAGTTTAGCTAAAAATAAGTTTATTCAGTTTACATCTCGCCGACGCTCGCTACATAATTTTAGGTACAAATACGAGTAGCTAACGATATTGTCATATAGAGATTCATAGGTAGTAGCAATAGCGCTAGGATTCAACAGGACTGCCCGGGAGGACCATCAACCAAGTTGCCACACCGTATAGTTACAAAATGAATGTCATCAAAGGTTTGTGGTGTATTATCATGTACATACCAATAATACCGTAAATATATAAACATCCTTATTTTTTTTAATTCCTCCTTTATTGGTCATTCTGCGACGTCATTATGACGTCTAAGTATGACGTCATATGGCTGTGACATTTTGACGTCATTATAGGGTCTCTCAGACGTCATTTTTGGACGTCCACTTCGTCATTCTATGACCAAGAAATGACGTCAATTGGACGTCACTCTGCTACCTGGGACAGGAATACATTATACAATGTTCAAATGACTATGGAGATAGTCAACATGCACAGACCAAAAACTAGACATTCTAGATACGGAAGTTTCCGTCACATTTCAGTAAAAGAAATGAAGCAATTTCTTGGCTTATGATTCCTTCAAGGCCAGATATCTACAAAAAATATGGAACGCTACTTTGCTCATTCCGACTCTTTGTATTATCATCTAGTCTTCAGTTATACCATTTCTGGAAGGCGATACCAACAAATCCTCAGAGTTATCTTCTGTTCCCCACCTGGTTCGATATCCAAAAACATAGTGCAACCACTTCTCGATATGTTGATCGCCAAATTCCAGGCTGTCTATTGTCCAGGCAAGGAACTTTCTCTGGATGAAAGTCTGTTAAATTTTCGTGGAAGACTAGAATTTCCAGTGTATATAAAAAAACAAGAAGTAGATATGGCATCAAGTTCTTCAGGGTAACCACCTCAGATGAGTATCTTCTAAACATGGAAATGAATAGTGGAGCTCAGGCTGCAGCACTTGACAATGATGTCAATAAAACCACGGCTCTCGTACTAACACTGCTGGAGCCCTATGTTATGAAAGGACACCAAATTTTTATGGACAACTACTTCAATAGTTACGAGTTAGCAAAGAAACTTTTGAAGTTAAGAACACACAACCGGAACACTAAGATCTAATCGAAAGAACAATCCCCAGAAAGTTGTGTCACTCAAACTCAAAAAGGGGCAGCATATTTGGCAACGCAGAGGGAACGTATATGTCTCTAAATGGAAGGACAAGAGAGATGTTCTCGTGATTACAACTGAGAACCATCCACTCTTGGTGACAACGACGAATAGGTTCGGAAAAGAATATTTGAAGCCTGAAGAAGTGGTAACATATAATAATCACATGTCCGGGATCGATACATGCGATCAAATGACTTTAACTTAATCTTCTCCACGCAAGACGCTCAGATGGTCCAAAAAAGTTATGTTCCATTTATTAGACGTAACAGTTTGGAATACCTTTTATATTTATAGAAAGTATCTCAAAAGTAGAAAATACTCTTCAATCAAATTCAGCGATAATTTGATCAAGAGCCTCATAGACCTGCCCAAAAACATCGATACGAAGAGCTTACTGAAAGCAAGCAGACACAATAACAAACGATTTTCAAATTCTGTACTAGAAGAAAAATTAGGTCATTGGAACGAGAAAATTCCTGGTGTTCCAGGACCCAAGTATGGAGAGGAGTCTGTTTTTCTGAAGTGTAAACTGTGTACCTACTATGAGAAACACACGCCGCGAAACTAGTTTTCGATGCAAGGGATGTGTTGGAAAGCCATCTTTGTGTCCTACCTGTTTTGAGGAATGGCATGATAAATAGATATAACACTTTCGGTAAAATGATTCTTATAATAATAGCGTTCGGCGTCATGCGTATACAAAAGCTGATTTACTTCGACAGCATGGCAGGACGCTGATCGGCGTTTTCCAAAGAATATGAAAAAACACATAATGATGTTTTCAAACATGATATTTCGAATGAAGAACTTAGCTAGAACAATATTGAATCACCGACACACAATTGAATAGTACTGTCACTCGGAATGGAACACATATATGAGTACTGTCACTGAAAGTGTTAACCTGTCATAATCGCTGTACATTTTCTTCTTCTTTTGTGTTTATGGATTTTCTGACTCCATGCCAATTTCACCAGATCCGGTAAGGATTATTTATCTGAAGCATTGCCTAGCAAGGAAAAGGTAGAGATTATTAATACGAATTAAAGAAAAACCGTTAACTTCTACCTCTTGCTTCTACCTTTGAATTGAAAGTAAATGCTTCATTTTTATAAATATTGACCAATGGCACTTTTAGGACGAGTAGACATAGAACAGATGAAACGCAGACAGATGCAGAAGGTACAATGGAGACGGAAAACAGGAACTGAAGAATGTTACTGAGAGTCTCAGTATGAGACTCTATAACTGCAAAAGCAACGAATAACAGGAATAGATAAAAAGGTAAAGAAAGGTCTAGAACAGGGGTGCTCAAACGGTCGATCGCGATCGACCGGTCGATCGCGGAAACTTTCAGAGTCGATCGCAAGGCGTGCGTAGCGTGACAACACCGCGAGAACAAAGCAACACCACTCCGCACGCGCGAGAACGTGGCAGCGCATAAGCAGCGCCCACTGCCTTTGGATTAGATTAGAATAAGCTCTAAACTTGTGTTTGGCATGTGTGTCAGAAAAATAAGTGATGCCTATTGAATTTAATTTTGTACCTAACGAAACAAAATGAGTTCATCCAAGAAAACCAAAACGTATCAACAATGAGTAGGAAAAAGAGTTTCTATTTATTATGGTGAAAGAAAAATGTGTGTGCCTTGTTTGTCATGCTTCGGTGCGGCATTGCCTAAGCGTGGAAACTTGGAAAGGCATTCATTATGAAACTATGCATAAGAACTATGAGATTGATTTTCCACAAAAGAGTGAGTTAAGAAGACGAAAAGTTCTAGATTCAAAGAGTGGTTTGAGAGCAGAGCAATCCATGTTCACTAAACCAGTAAAACAAACAGAAGCTGCAACAATTGCGTCTTTCAAAATTTCCCACATATTTGCAAAACACAAGAAACCTTTCGAAGACGGGCCGATATTAAAAGAAGCGTTGATTGAAGCAGCTGATGTATTGTTTCGTGACTTCAGAAATAAAACAGCGATAATGTCTGCTGTTAAAGAGGTTTAGCTATCCCGTCCGACTGTTACTAGGCGTGTGGAAATCATGGGCAGGGATTTAGAGTCTAAACTGGAAAGTGATATTGCTGATTGCAAGTATTTTTCTTTGCAGTTTCACGAATCCACTGATATGACAGATACCGCCCAGTTGAGTGTTTTCATTCGGATGGTTATTTCCCTCGGTATTTCCTGATATGTCAGCGAAAGAAGAATTGTTAACAATGCTTCCATTGAAAGAAAAAACTCGAGAACAGGATATCTACAACGCTTTTTTTAATTTTGTGAAGACGTATGAGTTACCGATTTATAAACTAGTTTGCATAACAACTGATGGAGCGCCATCTATGACTGGCAATAAAAATGGGTTTGTTGCAATTTGTCGAGCTAATGACGAATTTCCATCGTTTTTTCATTCCATTGAATTATACATCAGCAAGTGCTATGCTCAAAAATACTGAATATCAAGGATGTCATGGACATTGCCACAAAGATTGTGAATTCCATTCGTGCCCGTAGCTTGCAACGACGACTTTTAAAATGGCAGTTGGAAGCTAGCGTGTCCGCTGATCACACAGATTTGGTTCTTCACACAGATGTAAGATGGTTGAGTCGCGGGAAATTTTAAGAAAGGTTCCAAGAATAACTACCTGAAATAATTGCTTTTTTGGAAGAAAGAGGTGACAACAATGAAATACTCCAAGAGAAAAAGTGGCTCTGTGATTTAGCTTTCTTATCAGATATCACAGGTCATTTGAATACCATCAACTTGGAGCTTCAAGGTAAAAATAAAACGATTATTGACTTGATAAGTTCAGTGAATGCTTTCAAAAATAAATTGAAGCTACTGATCCAACAAGTGAATCGAAATGACTTGAATAGCTTTCCAGCATTAAAAGCAAGAAAAAGTACGATATTTACGAGGCCGAGCTTAGAAACCTTTTGAACGAGTTTGAAAGACGATTCTCTGATTTCGACAAAATGAAAAATATTGTCACTTTCATAAGTTATCCATTTTCTTGCGAAGATGTCGGAAAAGTTTCTAACCAGGCAACCAGATGACGTTCCAGTAACGTCTTTTTTACGTCACTTGAATGACCAAGGTGACGTCAGTAGTTGACGTCGCATGACGTGATAATGACGTGAATAATTCACAGCCCAATGACGTCATATTACTCACGTCGTATTGACGTCGTTCAATCACCAAGCTGTGACGTCAAAATGACGATTAAATTTGGCGATGATACGTGAAAAAGATTCCTTTAACATGGTGTGATAAACACCACTGGCCTCTGATAGCAATGGGAAGGATGTTGGCGAATTTGGCTTTACTTTGTTGAATAATGCATATTGATGCATTCTTTGTCACCCAACAAAAATGTTGATAGCAAATTATTGAAAAATTTCCTGAATAACGCAGCTCACCGAATTGGTACGTCACACCGACGTGATTTTTAGAAGTCATAGATACGTCACTGCAACGTCATAAGAGTAACGGTTTCAATATAGGTATACCATAACAATCATTTGTATATACACATAGCTTGTTGGTTTCCGAGATAGACAGTGTTCTTTAGAAAAAAGTGTTCTTCTTCTCGGTAATATTAATATTTCCAATTAAACTTGCATGTTGATTTGTTTTCATGAGTTATACATCTGTTTCACATGATACTATATAAGTAACCATGGTTTGGACGTCTGGGAAAAATCGACGTCGACAGGACGTCCCTGCAACGTCATGGAACTGACGTCTTCTTTTTTCCATCTAAGTGACGTTTACTCGACGTCGAAACGATGACGTGATTATCACGTCTTAGAAAGTACGTCATAGTGACGTCATAAATTGGTGTGACGTCTCTGACGAAAAATCACCAATTAGGGACGTCACATCAGTGACGTGATCATTCGTCATCTGGTTGTCTGGGTAGTGACGTATCGAACACTTTCAGTATGGAAAATACTTCTATCCAAAATGAGGTATTGCAGATGATTTCCGATATACAACTTTGAGCCAGAGCATCTCATGTGAAATTTTGGTCTTTTATAACTCAAGAAAGATACCCGAATTTGATAGAGGTAGCTCTTCAATTGACAGGATTGTTCGGATCAACGTATTTGTGTGAGTCAGCATTTTCAGAAATGAAAATTATTAAATCAAAATATCGCAATCGGCTTACTCACGAACACCTGATATCATGCTTGCGGTTGGCACTTAGTAATTACGTTCCGTCTTACGAAAAGTACGCCGACGATATGCAGTGCCTTGCATCAACGTCCAGAGAGTAATTGACATTTTTGACTTATTCTTATACAGTGTGACCCACTTCTAATGGAACCACCCCTGTATCTTACGTAATCGTTGGGTAAGGATCCTGAAATTTGCTGGAGCGAGAGATATACCAGAAATGCACTCTATGACGAAGTGGGGTCATCTTCAGTGATAAACACTGCTCGCGAACAGCCATGAAACCACCCCAATTTCCGGAAAATTATATTAGGAGTCAGAATAGGTTGAAAATCACTTCTGATTCGGAATCAGGAAGCCCAATTCTCTAACTATTCATAGTTTCCCTAGAAAATTTTCAGTTCAGAAAAATTAAATTTTGTCTCACTCCCCATGGAAGCACCCCCGTATCTCACGTAATTATTGAGGTAGGGTTCTGAAATTTGCAGGAGGAAGAGAAAGTCCAAATATAAAGTCAATTACGTGAGATACGGGGGTGCTTCCACGAAAAATGCGACAAAATTTTATTTTTCCGAACTGGAAATTTTCCAGAAAAAAATTGAATAGTTAGTAAATTGGGCGTCCTGATTCCAAATCTGAAGTGATTTTCGACCTATTTTGACTCCTAATATCCGGAAATTGGGGTAGTTTCCTAAATTCCGGAAATTGGGGTAGTTTCATGGCTGTTGGCTAGCAGTGTATATCACTGAAGATATCTCTCGTTCCAGCAAATTTCAGGATCCTAACCAAACGATTATGTAAGATACAAGGGTGGTTCCATTAGAAGTGGGTCACACTGTATGTATGTTTTGTAGTGCAATAAATAATGTTCTTGTAAATGTGTGTTTTTTTTAGGAACATCAAGTTCGCCGGCACTGTAAGTCTGAGCACCCCTGGTCTAGAATAAGATGAGATGTTGCACAGAAAAGTTGGTATGATTTGTAGGAGCTTGAAAACGTACCAGTGATGGTGTGCGGCCTGAATGTGAATTGGAATCTGGAGAAATATCGAGAACTTCGAGACAGGAGAGATTGAAGAAATTCCTATGACCATAATCGTTAATAAAGAATCATTGCGACTTACAATAATCCATCGTGATAGCTGAAATTCACTTATAAGGAAACAGACAATGTCGTTGTTTCAGGTAGGTGAGTGATAATATTGTCCCATTCCAAAAAAACTGCAACAGTCCGTTTGATGAATCGGAAGTGAAGAACGTGATATCACAATTGGAGCTTATCGAGCTTAGCACTAATAAGCTGAAAGTAAAATCTAAAAGTGGGTACTTTTACCCGAAAATTATCCTGAAGTGTGGGGAACTGCGTTTCCCACGTCATACCTAGTCGAAACAAGTTTTACTGTCTTTAAAAAGTTTTAATGTCTCTTACAAGGGTTAGCTTTGCGGTTATTCCAAACAAAACTGAAGCCAAATATTAATAATTTGCTATCAATCCAACAAGTACATGCATCCCTCCCATTGAAAGTATGACTATTTTGTGATTATCATTGTAGGAGTTACCTCACGTTAATAATGTATAATTTCAATTATATTACGACTTTTACTATAGGTCGCTTGCACGATGACCGACCCTGGAGGCAAAATATTGAAACACAACCTCATTCTTCTGTGAATTATTGAAACACAACCTCACTTTTTTATTTGGTTACAGAGGAATCATAGGATTGAAATGGTTTTTCACAATATTTTGGCATACGAATCGTGTTTTTTGCGCTATTCATTAATGCAAGCATGCCTTCGCATTGTGCTGTTGTACAATGCACAAAAAATGCAGCAAGAGACTAAGAGGAATATGATTTTTCAGGTAAATAGTAATCTCACATAGTTATCATTATGAAATGTTGTCATTCCTTATTAAAATTCCTTCTGCCTTCTGCCACTACTGCAATACAAGCTAATGCTGCTAATAGATTGAAAATGTCTACAACACACACGATCGTCAGCATGTCAGACCAGTCCTCCCGATTGATTGCATGAATCCAATCTCCTTGCATTATTTTAGAAATTTCAGGTGTATTTCTATTAGCTCTTATTGCAGAAGGAATTCCGATGAGAAATCAGAGAAATAACCAAATTTCAAAAATGAAAACTATATGTGAGTGACTATAGTAGGTACTTACCTTTAAATCATAATGTACCATCCGGATTCCTTCATCTTCCGCTGCAGTTTTTGTGCATTTTACAACAGCACAATGTGATGGCATGAGCGAATTGATGAATAGCGGAAAAATACGATTCATATGCCAAAATAATTGTGGAAAACTATTTCGATCACTTGTAAACAAGTAAGAAAAGTGACGTTGTGTTTCAATGTTTTGCCTCCAGCGTCGGTCATCTGACAGTTCTTGCACGCAACCCATATTACATTGTAATAATAATCGATAGTGTAATAATTACATATTTAAATAAATACAACTTAAAAAAATATACTGTTTTTTTTTTTATTTTTACCCCTCCGAATAGGGAGTTATCTTATTAGAATAATTGAGAATTGATTGGTTCCTCGTGCTGTGAGATGTCAGAAAAGTAAAGTTGGATGGAATCACTTTTTCGATTGGCCAACTTTACTTTTATGACATCCACTCACAGCACTAACCGATCAATTCTCCTTATTTCTTTTCTTTCGAAAACGGTTTATTCGTGATGGAAAAAGCCGCAAAGCATACTTAGGTCTATTCTTCACATTTCTTTTCAAAGTTTTGGAATACGGTAGGAATGTAGCTGCAGCAGGTCCACCGGAACCAGCTAAAATTCAAAAGTGGTCTATGAGAAAAAGTTTAGGAACCTCTAAAATAACTCCTTGGCTAAGAATAAGTTGTTTGCAGAAAAAAGCAATAATTGTTAAAATATTCAATATACCAAACTGTATTAATAAGAGTTTTTTCTAAGTTCAGTTTTTCCATAGCGCTATTCATCCTCCCCTCCTATCTGTCAAAATGATTGGGAATCAACATGAAATTACCAAAAGAAGGGGTTTTGACATATCTTGATATACCAAAGATCCCGTTTTTGAAAATGGACAATGCGATTATACGTCCTCTAGCGGCAGTCCTGGAAACTTGAAAATAATTTCTAGAGATTTCTGTTAGCCACTTTAATTATAAATATTTTTTTCCGAAACCTGTGCGGCAAATATTTTTCGATACGGCTGTATCGGGAAATATTTGCGTCCTTATTGGTCCACCCGGTACATATTTCAAATTCTGAATCTATTTAATATGGAGGGTGAAAAATAAATGTATCTTCATAGATAGATATTGCCAATAATATTAAGAATCAGTGACAATCGACGAAAGGAAAAACAATTCGGAGGACAAAAATGCATCCGCGGTTGAACGGGTCTTGAGATTCAATCACTCATTCAAACAGAGTTCGTTCAAAAAATGGTGGTGTCTGATTGGCCTATTTAATGATTTCCATGCTCAATTTAAATTCACCGACAAATGCTCGAAGTCTCAGTCCACAAAATTGTCAAACTTTCATGGACCTTTTTGGTACATTCATAAACTGTTATTGATTTCAGTGATCCGTCACCTCGATATCATTGGATTGGGTTGGTAATAGAGAGTAGGTTTCTAAATAAAAACTGAATGATGATTCACTTATTCAACAATCCGTTACTTCTTTCTCAATCTTGATAATTTTTTCTGGATAGTCGGATTGCTCTCCTTGATATTCAACTTTGATATCACGTTCACTTTTCACGGGGACATGTACAAAAGCTGATGTCGTTAAAGAATCCTGGAAGGATTCAACCTTCACTTTCATCTCTGGTTCATCAAACTCGTCGATAAAACTAGTTTCTGTTTGCGTTTCGCAATGGTGATTGCTTGACTCACTCTTAACTGTGATTGTTTTCGAGCATAGATCTCTTTCAACATGTTCACTAGAGTGACATTTCTTGTGGTTGGTCAATTGTGTTTTCAATCTGAATTGTTTCAAACAAATATCACATCTGAAAGGTTTTTCACCACTATGCACTCTGATGTGTCTTGTCAGATCTATCTTAGTTGTGAATCTTCCCTGACAAAAATCACATTCAAAGGGTTTCTCTCCAGTATGCACCATAATGTGTCTAGTTAGATTATTATTGGCAGTGAATTTTTTATGACAAATATTACATTCGAAAGGTTTTTCACCAGTGTGTCCTCTATGGTGATTTGTCAAATGACGTTTCGATGAAAACTTTTTGTGGCAAAACTCACATTTGTATCGCTTTTCACCAGAGTGGACCATAAGGTGTCTAGATAAATTACTGCCGTCATGGAATATTTTATTACATATTTTACATTCAAATGTTTTTCTACTAGTTCGCACTCTGATGTGGTACTTCGGATCTCTCTCAATACATTCTTGTTGGCAAATATCAAGTTCACAAGTATGTTTGTCGGTATGTACTCTCATATGCCTAGCTAAATTATTATTCACATTAAATTTTTTGTTGCAAATACTACATTCGAATAGTTTTTGACCACTGTGCAATTTTTGATGATTAGTCAAATAACGCTTCTTTGAAAATTTTTTTTGGCAAATAGAACATTCAAATCGTTTCTCGCCAGTGTGCTTGCTGATATGATCAGCTAACTTTATAGGGTCGGTGAATTTAATGTTGCATATATAACATTCTTTTTCGATACTATGCATTTTGATGTGTTTGTTTAAATCTTCCTTAGCGGAAAACTTTTTTGGGCACTGCTCACATTCAAATGGTTTCTCCCCACTATGTAGTCTCAGATGTTTAGTCAAATGACTTTTCTGTGCAAACTTCCTTAGACAAATATCACAAGCGTAAACTTTATCGCCTGTATGGACAATAAGATGTTGAGTCAAATTGAATTTTCTAGTAAACCTTTTCAGGCAGATATTGCATTCAAAAGATTTTTTGTCATCATGCATCTTGTTATCATGTGGATTTCCGGCAGTGCAGTCTTCAGAATCCATTGGATGAAGATGGTCACTAAGCACGTTGTTGGCTTCTCATGATCAGTTGATTGAAGGGAATTTCAGTTTCTTGAAATGTTACCTGTAAAAATAAAAGCTTTATATTATTCTGAAACTTCTGGTTTTACCGTCATGCAATAGTGATGATTTTTTTGTGAAGGTACCTCATGTATAGGGTCGTCCACCAAAGAAGCCTTGTATTTCTTTAGTGTCCCACCCCCCCTCCCCCCTATTATATTTTGAACAGGTCAACCCAAAAAATTGAAACTTAGGATAATGAAATTGATGCATGAATACTATATTTTGGAGAAAAATTGACAGATGAAAATTTCAAGATGGCCAGCGGGCGCCATCTGAGAAAAAAAAAGAAAAAGGTTTTGTGACACATCCTTTTGAAGCTCCTGACGAATACTTCACAACCCTAGAAGATGGAGTCAATATCTTCACCTACTACAAAATGTCGGAACATTTACTAATTGCCTGATTACATCGGCATTATGATATTATGTGCATATCTTTATACAGGGTGTTTCATTGGGAAAGGTAAATAATTCAACTGTGGATAGGGGTCACTAAGGTGATTTCAAAAAACCCATGGTTGATGGGTCTTCGACTTCTTATAATCGAGATACAGGATGTTTCATCAATTTTGTCCATATCTTCATTGTCTCATAACTTTTCAACCAACCTGTATATATTTTTAAAAATTGATACACTTGCTCAATCTACCCTGTGGAATTGATTGAGGCAACAACAAAAGATAAAATCCAGGTCCGGCTTCACTTAAAATTCACAAATTCTTTCTGCTAGAAAACAACACCCTATACATTCGAATTTCCCATTTTTTTACCATATCTGAAAAGAACATCAAACTTTCTATTCAACGATGTGCTTTTTATTGGTGCACAGACGATTTCAACTATTCATATTATGTGCTCAAGATATTATATTTGCTCATTTTGGGGTACAAAATTGGAATCAGACCAGATTTATTGATTTTATTACTTCCTATTCAGTATACGTGAGTATTACATTGAGAAGGAGTATTCTATATCGTTCTTTGTTCCAGACTTACTTCCAGGTCCGTCATCAGAGCTATACAGGGCTTTTCACGATAAGCGTTAATTAGATGTTTCTGGCAAACCAGGCAACGGATAAATCTAAAAATTCGAAGGTATGTTTAAATTAACATGATCTACAAGTCTGAAATATTCGAAACAATTAGGCGTTGCCGCTTCTACTCGAAAGTAGCAGTAACTTTGATTTTCCAAATGAGACACCAGTTCGGGTTCTAGTGGGACTAATAACCGAGATATTTAGAGTGAGAAAAATCGAGATGTTTCAACTCCAGAATTATTTTGCGAAAATATTTATTATTGATCAAAACGGCTTTTATGTCCCCATCTTAACGTATCTGTTTCAAATGAATATCGAATGGAAAGTTGACATAGGTATATTGAAGCCGTTTTGACCATGCAATAATGAATAGTTTCAACACAAAACATTTCTTAAGTTGAAACATCTCGATTTTCCACATCCTATATCTCAGTTATCAGTCCCGCTAGACCTTGAATGTTTTGAATCGATGAATTCTGCTGTTCAGCAAGAATCCAAGAATGTAATGAAATACAGGGTGTCCCATTTGAAAAATCGAAGTTGCTGCTACTTTCTAGTAGAAGCAGCAAGGCCGGATCGTTTCAAATATTTCAGTAGTGTAGACTATGTTAATTTATACAAACCATCGAAATTTCAGATTTATCCGTTGCCTGGTTTGCCGAAAACATCAAATTAACGCTCATCGTGAAAAGCCCTGTATAGTTTTGATGACGGAACTGCAACTAGGTCTGGAACAAAGAACGATATGAAATACTCCTTCTAAATGTAATACTCACGTATACTGAAAAGAATGTGATAAAATTAATAAATCTCGTCTGATTCCAATTTTGTACCCCAAAATGAGCAAAAATAATATTTTGAGCACATAATATGAATAGTTAAAATCGTCTGTGCACGAATTAGAAGCACATCGTTGAATAGAAATTTTGATGTTTCTTTCAGATATGGCAAAAAAAATGAGAAATTCGAATGTATAGGATGTTGTTTTCTGGCAGAAAGAATTTGTGAATTTTAAGTGAAGCCGGACCTGGATTTCATCTTTTGTTATTGCCTCAATCAATTCCACAGGGTAGATTGAGCGAATGTACCAATTTTTAAAAATATATACAAGTTGGTTGGAAAGTTAAAAACCAATGAAGATATGGACAAAATGATTATACATCCTGTATCTCGGTTATAAGAAGTCGAAGACCCATCAACCATGGTTTTTTTTTAATCACCCCAGTGACCCCTCTCCACAGTTGAATTATTCACCTTTTCCAATGAAACACCCTGTATGAGGGAGAATACAAATTTTCTACTTCAGAAGAATGTTCAATAGATGTAAATCAATGTTCGTCGTGGCATATAGCCAGGAAAGTAGTTGTTTTCTGTTGAATAAACCGAAAGTGAATTAAGATTCAATGCGAATACTCAATGTATTTCTTTATATATCCTCCTGGGACCCTGCGTCCATCAGAATGGACGTTCGGAATTCATTTTACTAAATCCAAACGCACCTATATATCGATGTCGAATCCTCACGTCCACCTCGTTGGATATGTTCTCTACGTCACAAAAAGTCCGAACTTGCCCGTTTATGCGGTTTCTTGTTTACATTCCGTTATTGTTGTCATGACGTCGAGCGAGAAAACATCTTTCAACAGCAAGTACCTGCATTTCATATTTTCATGTGTTTTAATTGAATTTTATTGATTAGAAAATATTTGATAATGATTTATCAACGCGATTACGGCTACCTGGCTACCTGGCTACCTGGCGGGTGGCCAGGTAGCCGTGCGGACAGAGTGTCCATATTCTAATCCACATTCGCTTGCCGGTCGTGGGTTCGAGTCCCGTCGCCTGCAGAAAATTTTTCTGATGGCCCAAGAAAGTGTTTGGGATCACACGTTAAAAGGTAAGGCCCCCGTCATTCCTTGCTCGCACAAGACTTTCGAAGACTTCTGAGGGTTGCTCGTAAGGGGGCAACCGAATGACGGATAGAACAATTTTAGAACAATTTTAGATTACATCTTAATTTGTCGCAATATTTATGAAATCTTTTTTTGTGGTTGGATTTCCGTTATGTACATTTGAATGGACATTGGGTTGTTCATCCACTTATCCCAAACACATTCTGATATGTAACTTTCCACAAATATTCATGAAATCTTGGTGTTTTTCAGAAAGTTTTGGTCGAGAACGATATCTTCGGCCAGGTGAAGACGATGAGAGACTACTACAATTATTGGAAGCTGATGCTTCTGACATAGATGGATTTGAAAACGAAAAAGAGGACGAAGAGCGACATGCCAGTAAACTCTCCAACTCTTCGGTCTCATCTTGTAGTTTTGTGCAAGATAGTGTCCACATTGCCACAAAACTGAGAACAAGGTTCATAAAATATTCAGTTGTTATTCCTCTAGGAAAGTACTTAGCATCGGTTAGCCATCTGCAAATTGTTTCAGGGGTTTTCAAAAGTAAAACATTTGCTATGTCCATCTGATCTGAAACCGGAAGATAAAATGAATTTCCGGTCATCCGAGAAAATGTATTCTGAGAAAGTTATGCAATTTTTGAAATCCGTACCCTCAAGTGAGAAAACGGAAGCTTATCTCAGGATAATGCAATATTCAGTAACTGCATATTTGGATGAAGATATGGAGTTACATGTTCGCGCACCGAAATTTAGGTTGAGTTTAAATTTAGTTTCATATTCAACATTTAGATTCATGATTTAATTGCATCACTTATATTAAAACAAGTTTCTTCATATCTTCAGATATTCATTATATTCAAATAACGGCGCATTACTCATGTCGCCGAATTTACTTCAAAACGGTCCAGGATAGGAAAGCTCGGTCTCACCGCAAAGAGCGAAAAAGAAGAACGAGAAACAATGGGATTCGATAGACATTTCATTTCATTTTCATTTATTCAATTTTCCAGTCGACAATTACAAAATTGTATAGGACTAGTCAAAGGAGTACATGTAAGTAGAATACAAAATAGACAAAAAGGAAACTAACACATAACACATAGGTGTGATCAACTAACTATTACTAATATTATTAAAATTTTTCGGAAAGATACTCTTCCACCGAATAATAACATTTTGTTTGTAATAGTTGTTTCAAGGATACTTTGAAAGAAGTTAGTATCCTACATTGTTTAATTTCGGCAGGTAGAGCGGTATAAAATATGAGTGCCATGATATTAGGCGACTGTCGAGTTATATTCATCTTACTAAAAGGGAAGTGAAGATCATCTTTACAGCTAGTATTAACTCCATGGCGAGAACTATTAGTATTAAAATTGTCTTTGTTATTGAACACATAGAGACATGATTCTAAAATGAAAAAGGAAGGCACCGTGAGTATTTTGAGGTCTATGAAAATGTCACAACACGAAGTTCTGTTGGACACACCCACCAAGGAACGGATAACGCTTTTCTGGGAAATGAAAATATCTTGTGATGAGCTAGATAGACCCCAGAAGCATATACCATATTGGTATTTGTATTATATGGCATTCGGTATTGGTATGATCGTGACCGCGCCGGCCCGCAATTCTTTTAATAAGATAAAAACGCCCAAAAATATCTCGAAATAAGCCCTATGAACGGGTAATGAAGGCCGGCCTGAAGCAGAGGTCCTGGAAATCGAGAGGAATATACCAGGTGAGAATTTGATTATCCTTAACTGGACGGCTGACATTATACTTAGTTCGAACACAGACAATACATACCAGAATATACAAATTCGTTCGAACACAGACAATACATACCAGAATATACAAATTATGGTACGCTGTATTTTATTCACGAACCTGGAAGCAGTGGATTTCAGAAGTCATTATACAGTCATTATAATTTACAAAATAATTTTATTTCTCAAAATTGTTAT